ATACATATTCCATCACAGCTGCCTGAAGAGCCAAAACATAGATGTGTCAGGGGTGCCATCCTGGCTCTGTTGACATCTATTGTAAACTTCTCATTGGTTTCTCTAGGACTGGTAGTTCACCAGGTTGGTGAAAATGGAGGGGCTGGTCCAACGAGGCCAGACCTACAACTGGGTTTCATACTGCTGAGCAGCCCCTACTGGACAGCTCAGGGGAAATACTGTGCAGGCGCAGCCCTACTGTACTCCAGGTAAGCAGACGAGGCAGTAAGCTGCCTGTAGCATGGCTGGGCTGGCACTGAGGTGAATGAGAGGAGGAGAGGAAAGGTCCAGGAGCAGGCAGAGCATGGTAGTGTGGGATGCAGAGGGGACGTGGGACAAACAAGCAGGGAGGGCTCAGGGTGGAAAGAGACTCTTGCCCTGAGCTGAGTGCTGGGATCCTGCCATTCCCACTGAGGTCCCTTCCTCTGCGTTTCTCCGTGCTTAGAATCAGACAGGGCTGGAGAGGAGACTGCAACCCCATGAGGAACGTGAGAGCAACAACTGCAAGCGACCCTCAACCACACAGTGCCAGAAATCTCACCAAGCAGGTAACTCTGCCACGACTCCAGCCCCTTTCCCAGAGCAGCATCAGTATTCAGCCCTAGGAGCTTCACCAGCCAGTATGCCCCAGGATCCTGGAGCTCCTAAAGTCCAGGTCCTAAGAACACCCAGAGAAGGACGAAGGCTCCCACAGCCCAGTTTCAGCATTCACTGGGGTCATGTAAAAACGGCTGGACTCTGGGAATAGGCTTTTCTCTGGTTGTTCCAATATCCGGGTCAGGAGCATGGAGGGGGTGTCCCCAGGACAATACATTGATCCACTGATTGTCAGCCAGGGCCAAAGAAACCTGGTGTGTTTTGCAATCCTTTCAAGGGTGCTGCAGGAAGCCCCACAATGTTAGCACTGTAAGGTTTGGAAACATGATTCACAAGAAAAACCCTAATAGAAATCCATAGTTGTGGTCTTTCTGAGATTTTTGTAACAAACAAACTGCTTTATTATTTTTCTGTAGTAAAAAAAAAAGAAATAGTGAAAACCAAGAGCTGACTTTTTCTGAGGGTGCCTCAATTATAAAAAGGTTGAGACATCCTGCAAGCCCATCCTCCTTGCAAGTCCCTTCTGTGGGGGTGTCTTTGAAAGAAGTCATTCTCTTATTGTCTGAAATGTTTTTTTTCCTTTCACCCAGGATTCATCTGCATCCCGTACCTGGACACAGACCCTCAGACAAGCATCAAGGCACCTTTGTGCATTGTGCCCCCTCAGAGCCTGCCCTAGGACTCGTTGTACTCCAGACTCACTGCAGGGCCCCAGGAGAAAGTTGTTGAGTGGCAGCCTCTCCCAGGAGGAGGGTATGGGAAGAGAGGCTGGAGAAGGAAGGGAGGAAGATCTCATGTGATGGAAGAGACTCCACCCCTATCTGCTGCCCAGCAGAGAAGAAACACTTTGGGTCCCACTGTGTTATATGGCTTTTTATTCCTATGTGATTATACCACTCCTTTCATATAGGGATTGAAGCCGTGCAATACGCTGGGGACGGGCAGCAGAGAACATCCCCAGGCAAGAACATGCTGCTTCTGGGGACCATACCTCAGAAGCATCACCTGGACATCCCTCAAGAGCATTGGTTCAGTGCTACAAGCCATCAGGGGGCTGACGCAGCCCCAACAGGAGAGACCTGGGTTGGCCTAAGCTTGACCACTCTGAAGGTGGGAGCTTGTGGGCTCCAAGCACCTTCACAGATTCTTCTCATGACCAGTTCTACAGCAAGGCCAGCCACACTGGGCAGAGTTAACTAGACTTGTTGCCCCAGGATGATGGCCAGAGATAGTAGCTCCATCATGGACTTTGTGCTTTGCCTGTAGCCATAGTTTGCATTGAAAAGGGGCATTCAACCCATTGCTTTCCTTGACTGAGTGAGCCAGGTAATATTCCCTCACCATCAGTGAAAGTCAGATGAAACAGGAACAGAGTAGTATCCCTTAATAAGTCTGTGAGCCCTCTAAGGATGTGTGACATGTTCTGTGGTTCATAAGCTATCAGAAGGCAGCACTGTGAATGCCATGAGGCCCTGTGTCTTTCTAGATAGGTAGGGAAGGTGGTTATTTGGGCAAAGGATACAACACCAGGGCACCTGGAAGGACTTGCCTTTAGCTGCAGAGAGTCTGTCTGAAGCAGTGTGCTAGCTGCTGCTTGCAGGCTGCTTTCTGGAGTGGTTTTTCATCTGCGCTTGTGAGGAGCCCTTCCTGGAGAATGGGTGAGGAGCTAAGGGGCAGTTCCTGCCAACAGCAATCAGGACATGACAGAGGAAGTATAGAGCTTCCTCTGGAGGGGTGAACTCCAAAGGACCACTCCAGGCTGCATCAACTGGGTATCTGGAGAAACTGTGAGAAGGCACTGGAGAACAACCAATACCCAACCAACTTTTCCTGCAGCCACACTGCAAAGTGGGTGGATTACCAGCCCCAGTTCCCTGGTCACCTGGATTCTAGCTCAGCTGGACCAGGGAACAGGGCTTCAAAGCATCATTAAGCTGAGGTGAGAGGATTTAGCATATGCAGAGGAGACAGGTTAGAAGCAACATTCAAGGGCTGAAGGTAAGGCTGTAGTGAAGCTATATCTGCATGAAGCATTTGTGCCACAGCTAACACAGTGGAGGCCAGATTGCAGGGAGGATGCCTAGGCACCACTGTCCCACAAATAAAATATTAATGAAAGTGATGATCAAGAAAACGGCTGTACCTGGACTGTAGACAGGCCTTGGAAAAACAGAAGTCTAGCTTTTATGCAAATGCTGCCTGGGCTAAGGAACAAAGGGAAAGGGATGCAGCATATGATGTATTGGCAGGGCTGCCTCTAAACAATGTTTCTCAAAGTTTCTCGGGAGTCGGCAGCTCCTTAAAAGGTTCATATTAAATCTGTCACATTAGCAAAAATAGGCAAAATGACACAGCTTGGGAAAGAGATTAAAGGAGGACCCCTTCCGCTCACTTCATAAAGGAAGGCCCCATTAACACCTTGTGAAATATTAGCCATTAATCAGCCTCCGCACAGAGGAAAACGATCCACATGTATCATTATTGGATCCTTAATGAAGTGATAATGGGAATGCCGGGGAGCTGGGATATTAATGTCTCCTAAGAGGCAAAAGCACTGCCAAGGCCAGGAGCCAGGATTTTTAATTTACTGCCAAAAGCTTCCACTGTTAATAATGGAGTTACTTACCCTGAACATTATCACTGTTTGGCCACAAGCGTTCCACACACACAATGAACTGGGCCTGAGATCACACAGTGGCAGCTGCTGGGTTTGCTGATCCTCTCCCTCTCGGCCTCTTCAGGGGCAGGAGTGGGCTGAGCATCCCACTGCAATCTTCCCAGCAGGTCATCCCCTTCAAGCTGCTGCTCTGTTTCCCTTTCCCCTCACTCTCATTCCATCTTCTCTGTGCTGGTTATGGCATTCCCTGTGTGTATGGAGCTTGCCTGGTGCCTGCCAGCTGGAAATGCTTGACTTCTTTTGGAACTATATCTTTGGACTGATCAGTCAAGCACTGGTCTTACCTGCTTGGACTTCAGATCTTTCCCCCCACCCCCCTTCTGCCTGGATCTCTGCATAGGACAGGTGGATTAGCTCTCTGGTGTACTACTTCAGGGCTTGGTTTCCATTTTCTTTCAATCATAGGAAGTGCAGACTGTATATATTAAAGGTTGCATGAATCTGACAGGATCATCAGTATATTGTATACAGTATCTCTCCATCCTTTCCGTGTTACTGTCTTAGGTGTTAAGGTCCTTGGAGCTGGGATTGTATCTTCCTATATGTCTGTACTGCCTTAGGGCTCTGATTAGATTGAAGTCTCCAGGTATATTATTACTGTAATAGAACTAATGAGCTCTGGTTCCTCCCTTTGCAGTTTTCCAAGCAGATTCAGATTATTCCCAGGCTGACACAGGCAAATCCCACACACAAATGTGCTTGAATTCCCTAGCGATGAATTCACAGTCTTCCCAGGAGAGCGGTGACATCCTCCAGGCTCTGGAGGTAAATGCATCACACTTCTGAGATCCCTCTGACATCTCCTGGCTGTCCTGGGGGCAGCAGCAATAATACTTCACTCTTTACATGGTCCCAGATGCGATTCCAATGTTCACTAATGAATCCTCACAAAACCCCTGCAGGTCCCCTGTGCTCACACCACTGTGCAAATGGGGAAATCAAGGCAGAGGCAGGATAAAAGACTTGTCCAAAGCCTGACAGCACAGGACTGCTGCAGTCATAGTTAGAACTCAAGAGTCTGACTCCCTTTTACCAGTCTCTCCAGACCTTTCTTTCACTCACTATGGGCAAAGGCTTGGCTCACAGAAGAAAGAGCAGTATTACAGCAGTAAGTATAGGGAGGGTGGACTTGATGCCTTTGACTGTATTGGTGTAATTGTAATAAATCCCCTAGCTGCAGTACAGCTGGGCAGGTGCTCAGAGCTGCTCAGATCCTTTATCCGGCTCAGCCTTCATGCAGATGTATGCCCACACTGCCCAAGCAGTGTTTCATACAGTGGTGTCACTGTAAGAGCATGGAAAGGGACCCATAAGAGAGAGCTTTCTACTGTTAGAGACTGCAAGGGGAGCTCTCTCATCTTCAGTCCCCAGCCTTTTTTCTGACTGGCATCAGACCTATTTGTAAATGTTGAGTGCCTTCAAGAGGAAGAAATCAGTCAGTCTATAACGTGCACATACACTCTCCATTGGTTACAGCATGCAATGTTAGGGCATCAGGCTGCTGCAGCCATGTTTTCCTAAACTGAGAACCTACATGACCCATTAGCTCAGGAGTGAAGCCTAGAGCCACATGGTTAGGAAACATCTGAAGAATTACTCTAGCCTCAGTGTCCTTGACCATCTTTGCCTGGCCCTGCCTTTTCCTCAAAGGAGATGGGGCAAGGAAAAAAAGTCCACAGAAGCCAAATGAATGCAGATGCAAAATGTACTTCAAACAGCCATGTCCTTTCATCAGACCTTTTATCAGTTTCCTCCTTCACAACATGAACTCATTTTAATTAATACTGAATTGTGCCTATTTAAAAAGCCAGGATGATGTCAGCGGCACATGTATGATTAGCAGCACAGGGATTTCTCTGAAGAAGTGCATGCATGAATGCCAGCTCCAGCAGCATTCCCAAGGACTAATGCAATGTTTGGCAGGTGGAAAAGGTTATATGTGCATAGGAGAGCACAAAGGTGAGATTCTTTACTGCTATAAACGTATTCTGTTGAGTCAGGGGAACCATATGGATTCATATAGCAGTCTAGCTCAGCCCATTTTTATGAACCCTTTTTTTCTGTGCCATGAACCATTTGAGTAATGCTGTAAATTTGAGATCTTCACTCTGGTGCACCTGCTGCACTACTGAGGGCATGTTAAACAGAGCAAGCAGTACTCCAAGTACCTCCAGGTTAAATAAATCTGGTCTACTGCAGGGTGGCCTAGGTCCCCCTGGGTTGCGCATGTCTGCTGGGGAGACCACCTGCTCTACTGCCAGTCTCCCAGTGATAAGAAGTGAGAATGGTACAGCAGACGGCTGGCAGTAATAAGGTAAGAGCTAAAATCTGGTCTGATCTTTTTAATTCAATTCAAATTCAGACTGACTCCTTAGCTGGATTTGCACCCATTCAACAGAGAGCAGTCTGGTGTGAAGCAGTTAGCATGGCTCTCCAGCCAATGGTCCTGACCCATAACCAAGCACTTTGAACACATTCTTGTTCCTTTCACATTTATTATTTGCACAACAATCATGCATAGAGGCTTAACCAGAAGACACGGCCCGGCCACGCCGAAACATGGTGAACGTAATTAAAACGGCACCCTCTGTAATTCACTGGAAAACTGGGAAAGCATGCACAAAAAGGTAGCAAGGCTCCTCTTTACTCAGTCTTACCCCTGACACTATTCATTTACTCAGCTTTATAATACTCTGTAGGTCTCTACTACCATCTATCAGCAGACCTCAATGCAGTTACCAAATATTTGGTAATTCAACGCTGTAAGGTAGGTACTGATTAGCATCCCCATGTTGCACAACAAATTGAGGCTCAGAAAATAAGTAACTTTATACATTGCAGCGTTGGAACAGGATGGATTATCCAGTAACTATACAAGCCTTAATTAAGGGACATGGGGACTTCCAACTCTGGCTCAGGCCTGTGCTTCTCTTCTGGCATGTTCCTGACAGGCAGCACAGGGTGTAGGCTTGCCATGACAGTCCTGTTCCACTCTGTACTAGATAGAGGGACTCTATCCATAGACAGAGGCTGATGTAAGACCTGAAGCTGGAGGTGTTCTGTGCCTTCTAACCATGTTGCTGGCATTAACCTTCACTGGAAAACCTGTGTATCCTGATGAATGTCCGACCCCTCCATGAATCTCAGTAAGGACAAATGGCCAATGACATCACTGCTTACAGTATGGACAAGGAGCTATAGTTGTCTGCAAGGTTAGATCAGCCACACGACAGAGCTCCATCTGTCTGAAAACAGTTTGACGCATAAGTGGCCTATTAAATCAGGGCTGAATATTCAAAAGAACTCAGCTCCCAATTTAGCACTGTAATAAACATCTAGATTTTTGAGAGGATTGAACATACTGGGTCAGGATGGTTGCTGAACCCTGCAGCTTCTTTCAAAATCTGGCCCCAGACATGGGCTCTGACTCCTTGAAAATCCAGCCTCTAGTTAGTCTGTCCACATATTGTGCTAACATATGTGGCAAAACAGGACCCAAGTTTAACTTTGTGACAAAGCTGAAGTCACCACTCCTCTGTACTGGCCCCAGAGGCACAGGGAATCCAGTCTCTGAGAAAGCCGTAGCCCCAGAAGCTTTGCCCTTTAATCGGTTCAGCAATATGGGTCAGAAGCGTTGAATTTGCAGATTTTCTTGCCTTTTGTTCCATGGAACTAGCAGAGTTAATCAGAGTGACAGCAACATCTGACTTTACACAGTGAAAAGGTCAATACCTCAAGCTGGAGGCTGGATTGTTTTTTGACCAGTTTGGAAATAATACTTGGAATCCTCATAGCCTACACACTGACAGCACAGAGTGCTGCCCCATGAAATATCAGCCAAGGGAAAAAAATGTCACCACCCAAGGTAGCAGAGAAGGTCACTGGAAGGAGGGGAAGGTGCATGTTCAGGTTGTTTTTGCATCAATGCATCTGAATCACAGTTCACATGATTCTTCGCACAGTGGAGTGAAAATACATTTGGCTGTGGCATTTACGTCACATATCCAAGATCAAAGGTTAAACTGAACTGATGTGCTTTTGGCCATCTCTGCTGCATTTGCAATTCCTTGGATTCAAGGCCCTTTGTACTGATCTAAAGCACCTTGTTCACATAGTGAGCCTGAGCTTTAAAATGGCAAGCTAAAAATCAGACCTAAGAGTCAGATGTCATTCATGGAAGTGGGAGACCTAATTCCCACAGACGTTTTGGAAAACCCCAGTCTTTTCTGTCTTGCTTGTATTTTGATGTTGTTTTACAATCACATGATTTCACTCATGGGAAGCACATGCAGACTAAATGTAAACGCTCGTCAAGTTAGTATGGGACCAGTCTGAATGGATACAAGAGCAAAAAGTGCTGGCCAAGTGCTGTCCCTGCCAGCCAGCAGCCCTACTTTCCTGAATTCTTTGTAACCAGAGTCAAAATGTACCCTTCAGTGGTACTTGGGCAGAAAGGTTAACCCAGCCAAGATATCCATAACGCTGGTGCCGTGCTTCCTTTTCTCTGATCCTAATTAAAACAGATCCAATGTTCCTGCTGCTCATGCCATGGTTACCCACTCCTGTGCCTAATTAATGTAACCTTTATGTCCAGGATATCTGCAGCCTTGACAGCTACCCCTAATTTAAGCAGCCAGATTTGTCTGTAATGTTAGTGCCCTCTGTTTACCCTTGCCTCTCATTAAAAGCACCTGACTATCTGGTGGTGTTACTCTCATTATCTGTCTCTGGCCCTAATTAAAACAGCCTGTATGTCCATGACATTAGTGCCTGTTAAACCTGTCATCAGCAGGTGACATCCATTTTGGAATTTACTGAAGAATGTGTACGAGTCATTATTGCTTAGAAATGCCTCCACCTCAAGACCTTCCTGGCCAGCCCTGTCTACCAGCTCCAGGCTGGAGAAGGCACCAGCAGCCTCTGTTGGCCCATCCTGCCCATCAGTTCCCCCACTGAGGAACATGACCTCCCATCCATCAAGGATGCCACCAGCCCTGGTGGACTTAGCTTTGTGCAGCTCCAACCCCACACGCAGAGCCAGCTCCTGGTTCCTCCCACCCTGCCCACTTCCTTGCACCTGGACTGTTGTCTCTCCACCAGCAAGGAGGCAAACTGGCCTTTCAGGTCCAAATCCCTGCAAAGTCCTTAGAAACTCCGTAAGATTCAGACTGGGGATGTCTAGCTCTGCTGCCAGTTGTAGGAGATCACTTCTCACTTCATCAATTAAAGAATCTACTCCAGGTCCAGCCATACTCAAGCAGATAAACTGAATCAGCAGACCATAGAGTTTGGCCACTCTGTTGACTTCCCCACAGACAGCTGCACTCAGAATCAGAGTCAGGTAGCCCAGAGCCTCTGCTTGGTGTTTGGCTTCTTCTAAAGCCAAACTGTTTGAACCAATGATGACATTATAGACATGGGAATAGTCTTGAGAACGAACAGAATCTGAACTTGAGCTGTGCAGCGCTGTCTCCACAGATTTGGGCAAGCTGCTCAGCAGATTGTATTTTGCCAGGATTTCAAAGCAGTCTTTGGTGCTGTGGGAATTGGCAACAGTGGGACCACTTGCTATAATGTCTACTGGGTCACCAATGACATCAGAGAGGATGAGGCTCAGCACCTAGAAGCAGAGAAGACTGCCAATCAACACAGTGCCTGCAATGAAGTCTCATTAACATAAAAAGAACAATTATTCTTCTACAAACTTACAATGAAATCATTTAATAAAAAACATTTAAGGCAGTGCTTTTAACCCATTCATGGCACCATTATGCTAGAGACCCAGACACTGAAGCTGGCTAGAAATAAATTGACCAGCTGTTTTCATTCCCCAACCCAAAAGGCAGAGGATTCAGAATGCCCATAGTAGGGAAAACCCTTTCAAAATTTGTCTTGCAGATCTGAATTTCTTTTTAAATGCTAGAGTTGTTTGTTTTATTTTGGTAACTACAGACCACAAGGTTCAGTCCTTACCTCTTGGATATATCTTTGGAAAGTAAACATAGGTAGCAAGATGATCAAAGAGGTGGAATTCTTTTTGTCTCCACTGGGAGCTGAAATTGCCCAGCATTTCCAAACATCAGGACACTTCTGCTGCAGTCTTTGTGGCCCTGTCTCTCACCCTCATTTAAAAGAAGCTCAGAGCCAAAGCTCTAGACAAAGAGGACACCTCCCATACTTACCTGTGCAGGATAGGCAGCCTGAGCCAGCCCTCCACCTTTCAGCAAGGACAAGGCCTTCCGGATGATGTTGAGTTCTTGGATGGTAGCTCCTCTGGAAGCCAGCAGCTTGGTGACCTTCTCTTTCTCTTCAAGGAGCACAGGAGGCTTGGGGGCAGGCAACAAGGCTGATCCACCTCCTACAGTACAGAATCTACAGTTAGTGAATGTGTGTGTACAGCAGAGGGGCTAGGACCTCAGTGGGGGAATCCCATAGCTTCTGTTTGCTTCTTTCTCTTCCTTTACCAATTGGTTAAGGAAATGTAGTGCTGGGGAAGCATTAGCTAAACTGCCTTGTAGGCTGAGGTCTTCTATCTATCCCCAGACCAGACCTGGATCTCCACACCTAAAAATTTATACGCAGGCACAATTCTCCACTCACATTGCAGTAGCATTTTACACTAACCTTGCCAGGCATGATTACCATGCAAGGCACAAGGCAGGGGAAGACTCAGCCCAAGGGCTACTGGTTTCTCTACACATCACTACTAACACGCCTCAAATCTGACCTTCACGGACTACTGGGATGGGTGAGCAGAGACAGCCAACTCCATGGTTCACTCAGCAACAGGCTCTAGGTTTTAATGATCTCCTTTGTAATGAGTAGCATTTAGAGAAATACAGGAATGTCTATGAATAAACATGAAACTGTACTACTCTGAAAGGATTCTTGAGAGATGGGTCCACTGGGAGGACAAAATAATGCAGATTAAAAAAAAAGGCTGGATACCCCAAGGATTGGCATGTTAGGGTATGATCAACGGGAGTTGCATGAACACAAACGATGTGATCAGACATCTGAAAAGCAAAGAAAGAAAGAAACAGCACAGAGGGAGAGATATAGAAGAGATAAGAGAGGGTGATCCTGTTCAGAAGCATCACCGGAAAATTACTGTAAAAGGACAAATGTTGTTCTAAGGTTTGGGACAAACCAAGAGCATTTTGCCCCCCTGCCAGATCAGCCAGTCCCTCAGTGACCCACATTCTTAATTTGCAGACTTGGATGCCAAGTCAAATCCGCACCTTGATACCAATACCTGCAGTCAGGGCCGACTAAAGCATTGCTTCGCCTACCTGTGTCCCCAGTTTTAGGCATGGGGCACCAACCATTCCAAGGAAACAAAACATCTCCCATGACTGTGACAATGGACAGGCCCAGGGGTCTGTCGTCACAAACAGAAACAAGGAAATAAGCATCACTGATTACGCTGATTTCATGGGGTCAAACTGCAGCAGCTCAGAGCAGATTCTGCTCGGAGCTGGGAATTGGGTTAGCTTGTTTTAAAACAGTGGTTTTTGGCTGCCTGGCACCACTGCCTGGTGAAACTATGTCTTTCTGCTTGAAATTGCTGGAGGAACAAAAGAGCAAAGCCTGTGGGAACAGTGTGATAAACAGTAACACAGCTGCCCGGCCCAAATTTTGGGACTCCTGACACTGGTGAATACAACAGCACCTTGCCTCTTAAAAAGCAGCCCAATCTCTAGACACTCAGTGCCAAGGGGATGCAGCCACCTTGGGGATGGGAGTGACAGGTGAGGTGGAAGATTGGAGACCCAGGAGTCATTAGCAGGCTCCTCTGAGAGGCCTGGTAAGCAGATAGATGAGTCAGCCTCAGAGCCTAAGTTACTGCTGTCTCTCTGCTGCCAGCATGCCAGGTACTGAAGTGTGAACTGTGAGCTGCCACCAATGTGGGAGTCATACTGGGAATGGCTCTGACCCACTTTCCACCTCTCCTCTGTTTCTTCTGCAACAGGCAGCTTGACCTAGTTTGCCGGTTGTGAGTCTGGATTTTTTTCCTGCACATATAAGGAGAGAGGTCTAAGAGGAGATAGAGGAAGAAGAGATGGGGTAGAATGAGGCAGCAGCTACAGGGACCCAGGCAAAAAACCTAGTCCCTGCTCCTGGGATGTTACCTGAGATCAGCACAAGGAGGAGGTCATCAGCTGTCAGACCTTCTGCCAGCTCACCAATGGCCCTGGCTGCCCTCAAAGCCTCTCTGTCAGGGAGGTTGTGCTTAGCTCCTTCTATGACCTGGATCCTGCTGTGTGGCTTTAGCAGCATTTCCCTGCAAGAGCCAGAGAGGTTGTCAGGCCACTGACATTTACAATTTCTCCAAACAGTTGGGCACTGCCACTCCCAGCAGAGGGCAAGAGGGCCCTGGGGAACAGGAAGGGACACATTTATGACTGAGGCTATGTATACAGAAGACACACTGCTCTATGGAAGGAACATTGGTGATGGCCCCTGAAGGGGATGCAGACCTGCCAGGGCTGGACTACAAGCCTGGTGGCCATGATGCAAGATCAAGGCTGGGGGTTAAAACTGGGACAGGTTGGTGAAGAACCAAGAAGGATTCAGCAACAACTCCAGGGGGAAACATGACAAGGCAGATGCTCCTGCAGGGCACGGATTTTCATGCTTGTCTGTCCTCCATCACTTTGCCCCCATCCCACCAAACAGACAGGTACTGGTCCTCTTACTGCATTCCTGCCTGCTGCAGACACGCCTCAATGCCCAGAGGGACACTGACAACTCCTCGGAGTAGGTGATCTCCCAAGATCTCTTCTGCTGCGGCAGCCATCCCCAGCACAGCTTTGCCGAAGCCCACAAGATACAGATTCCTCTGCGCTGGGAAAGCCTGGCCCCTCACGACGAGTTGCGGGCCTCCATCAGTTCTGAGCTCCAAGGCCCTCCTGAGCATCCGGGCTGGCAAGACAACATCCACAGCACTGCGGAAGAGGTATTGCCCGTGCTCCCTGAGGGACATACTGCGTGGCAGTACCTCACTGGTTGGGCGAGATGCTGAGGCCCAGCAGGCTGGGGTCAGACAGGCTCTACTGATGCTATGCAGGGCTGTGAGAGCCGAGGGCATGTCTTAGGAGATAGTTGGCCAGCAGTTTCCCACCTGGAATGAAGCGAAGGAAGAGTTATGACTCAGCCAGGAAAAGACGTGGGGGTTCTGGCTTCGAAACTGGGGACCCAGAGGGTTAGGAACCCAATGTAGGGGTCAGTCTGACATCGTCATTCAGGCTAAATGCCCATGAAGGCCTGAGTAAGGACTGAGGCAATCATAGAGCTGTGGATTTAGCTTTGCAACAGACCCCCTCTTCTTCTCCTTAGCCTCAGCCTCCTTAGCATCATACCAATGATATATTTGGACCACTCCTGTTTGGAGAGTTCACATGCAGTTGCCTCTTACAGCTTCCATCTCCCTATTTCTATTCCCTACAACTCCACAAAGCCACTGTGAGAACCAATCCTCTGTTTCATTTTGTCACCACCATAGATGTTATTGGCTGCTCCTCATTTTGACTCTTGCTAACCATTTCTTCAGGATAACTTTCCAAAATGAGGGGGCTCTTTGCCATCCCCAAGGAGTCAGACTTATTCTGAGAAGGGCTCCCACCATTTGTGGCACTTGACGAGAGAAAAAAAAGTTCCTCATTGTAGCATCCAAAAGCTGAGTTCATATTATTCGCTGTTAATTGCTGCATGCCCCTGCTGTCTCTCTGATATAGCCACTGACAGAACAGTCTTGTGTACCTCTGTGGCTGTTTGAACCCCTGCTGATGGTTACAGCAGATGCTGCCAGAGATGAGCTCTCCAAGATAAGAAGCAAATAAAACGAGGGCAAAAAAAAAAGTCCTTATTTCTGTTTTATTCCCTTGTTTACTATTCTTTAAATAGAAATTCAAAACCCTGACAAGCCTGTAGGCTTAAAAAGCCAAAAATGCTCTCCTTTTTCAGGCAAACTCCTAGTCACCTCAGGGTGAGGAGTGTAGAATTTGGCTTACTCTCAAAGACAAAAGCAGCAGTAAGTGTGGAAGGAAGAATCTGCTTCAGTAGCTCATATCCTGAGTGGGAGCCCAGTGCCAGTCCACAGATGTCTGTTCCCTCCCCTCCAGACACCTGCTGCATTCTGCATTTTCCCCATTAACTTGCTGCCGGGTTTCATTGTGCCATGGACTCCAGTGATCTCAATCTATCTCCCCAATCAGATGTTTTGTTCTAAAACTAAGACATTTTATAGCAGGATCACAGTGCATGCAGCTAATTAAGCTGTTCTTTTCTCTGATCTACACCTTTAAATTGCCAGCCGTTTTCTGTTTGTGGGGGCAGCTGCAATGTTTGCAAGGCAGAATTACTGCAGCATAAACTACACGTGCTCTACTGCGTCTTGCCCTGTTACTTCCATTTGATTCAGCTTAAAATGATGCGGCTTTCTCTGTATGGAAAGCACAAGAGGGGCCCTACCTGATGCCACAGACTGAGGAAGCTAAAGGACCCTGTTTGATGCGTTAGCTGTTACATGACTCCCAACACCATATTAGTGTTCGCACTTTCTCGCAGTCATTATGATCAATGCCACACCACCCTCAACAGGCCATGCAGTGACATTATCCTATTTTGCAAGATGGACGCAGAGACAATATAGGCCAGATTCTATTCCACCTGTCAGGTCCCCAAGTTGACTTAGGGCACCTAAGTGTCACCCTATGCCATCCTTCTCAAGACCCTGAAAAACTGTTAATGCAAAAAGCGAGTGGGTCCTACTCCTCCTTGCTGCTTTTTGTGACCTGGTCTCAAGGCTAAGGGGACAGTGTGCTACAAAAGAAGATGGGTGCACTGACTGCTTTTCAGGGACCTGAGCGTGGTGAAGCGGGATGGCTCTTAGGTGCCTACACCGACTTTGGCACCTAGTAGGTAGAGCTGGATCTAACCCTAATGACTTGTGATAAGTAATTCATGGAGCCTGCAGCAGAGCAGGGAAGTGCTGAGTGAGAGTCCAGTGCATTCTCCACACCATTTTCTCTCTCTCCTAAGAAATAACAGATATCTGCAGAAGACTGTACAGAATAGGACCTGCCCTTCCAAAAGCGCATCACCCAAATACATCTGAAGACAGATTCTCATACAGGAACTGCCCCACACCTCTCATTCCAGGAAATAATTTCTCTGTTAGAAAAAAAAGAGGACATTTTCATCCAGCTTTGTCAGAGGGGAGCATCTGGGGGGCTGGAGAGAAAATTCACAGGAGGTCCCATCACATAAAGCAGTAAACTATCACCACATTTTATATCTGCAGTGGGAAACCCTCAAGAGCATAAACAAACCCTTCAGCCTCAAGTGTGCCCTGTCCTGGACTCCAGTCACCAAATGTCCTGTCTCTGCCTTTCCTAAGAACATTTCTTACTTTTGGAGGGGGGCTATAATTTGGGAAGGCTGATGTGCTTGCCCCCCACCCCCAGGGGCTCCAAGCCACTCATACACCATGTCCCACAGATAACCAATTACCTTTCAGTTTTCTGTTCCTCCAGTAAATGCACTTGTGTGTGTGTGATGTCAAGGGCTGCTGCTCTTCTGGAAGAGCTTACAAGTACAGAGGTCCCTGTACTCAAACACTCCCACAAGATGTTAATAATTAAATGCCAGGTCTTCCCATTGCTCTGCTAAGCCCAAATCACTGCCCCACCTCTCTATTCCATGGCAGAGCTCAAACAAATCAGAAACCCCCAATAATACCAAAGCTAAAATGCCCACTGGCAAAAGACAGGCAGATCAAGTCTTGGGCTGGGTCACATACTTGCAACAGAATTTACCCCTGCCTGGAATACCTGTATTTCACAATGAAACAGGGCACCTGCCATGGGATGGGGCTCACAGGAGCTACCCTGCCTGATTCATCAAGCAGGCAGAGACTAAGAAGCAGCTCATTCTCTTCTTCCTGTCCTTTTGTTGGACCCTGTGCTCAGCTACACTTGATGCTAGGACTTGTTCAGAAGCAGCAGTGTTAGCTGCAGTGAGGGCCTCTTTCCATTAACAAGATGGTAAAAGTGCTTATGAAGAAGAGCCTAATCTTCAGCCCCTAGTGTAGAAAGAGCACATAAACAGCTCACCCCTGCTGGCTGAAGCCAGTGGTCAATCTATCTTTCCAAGCCCAACAAACTCCCTCTGCATAGCTGAGCAAGGTCATGAGGGAATGTAGTACAACCAGCCTTGCTGCTGTGAATCCTGCACTGAGCAGTACTCCCCCTGACCAGAGCTGTTCATTTCCACCTCTGAGCATAATATACCAGGCTCCAGTGCTTTTAAAAGCCATCCCCACATGCTCAAATTTAAATGACAAATTCCATTTTAATGTACCTGAACACTTGCTAACGCTTGCCCCATGTGGTAATTAACTACTATAACAGCGATGTAACGTCTTCTATACTCTGAACTGCAACTCTACGTAAACAATAAGGGCCTGATCTAGAGGCAGTTCCAGCCACAAGGAATCTTTCAATAGCCGTCTGTGATGAAATGACTGGTTCTGTGGATGTGGAGAAAATAATGATTGTGATATACCTTGATTTTAGCAAGGCTTTTGATACATTCTCCCAGGCAAGCTAAGGAAGTACAGGCTGAATGAATAGATGTAAGGTGGATAGAAAACTGGCTGGAACATGGGGTTCAGAGGGTAGTAATCAATGGCTTGATGTCTAGCTGGCAGCCGGTATCAAGTGTACTGCCCCAGGGGTCAGTCCTAGGGACAGTTTTGTTCAATGTCTTCATCAATGACTTGGAAGATGGCATAGAGTGCACCCTCAGCAAGTCTGCAGATGACACCAAACTGGAGGGAGTCCCACAGGTGGGATGATGATGGCTTGACTCCCTGGGCCGCCACAGTGAGGTGCCCCAGATGCGGTGGGTGGGGCTGCAGTCTGATGCTCCCAAGTGGCACCAAGGAGGGGAGATAGAGGGACAAGGGAGTAGTAGATATGCTGGAGGGTAGGGCTAGGATTCAGAGTGACTATGCACTGGTATAGGCTGGGCAGCAGCTCTGCAGAAAAGGACTTAGGGGTCACAGTGGACAAGACGCTGAATATGAACCAGCAGTGTTGTCCTTGTTGCCAAGAAGGTTAACAGCATTCATAGGTGTGCTACCAACAGGTCAAGGGAAGTGATTATTCCCCTCTATTCAGCACTGGTGAGGCCACATCTAGAGTACTGTGTTCAGTCTTGGGCAGGGCTGACCCAAGCAGGGTGCAGGCCTGGGACAAATCAGCCCATACAGGGCCCTGCCCCCACTCCAATCCCACGCACCTCAGAGCCAAAGCTGCCACCACCATCAGCAGCGTTGCGGGTAGCAAGCAGCTGGATGTGAAGCCCATGGCAGTGACACAGTCGCTGCAGCTGCTCTGCCCAGTCCGAGGGCCCCTCAAAGCACAGGGCCCAGGGCGGTCACCCTGATTTGCTCCCCCCTAGGGACGGCCCTGGTTTTGAGTCCCTCGCTACAGAAAGGATGTGGATAAATTGGAGGGTCCAGTGGAAGGCAGCAAAAATGGTGACGGGGTTGGGGGACATGATTTATGAGGAAAGACTGGGGGAACTGGGCTTTAGTCTACAGGAGAAGAGACTAAGAGGGGACTTAATAGCAGCCTTCAATTACCTGAATGGGGGTTCAAAAGAGGATGGAGCTGAACTGTTCTCAGCGGTGGCAGGTGACAGAACAATGAGCAACAGTTTGAAGTTGCAGCAAGGGAAGTTTAGGTTAGATATCTGAAAAAATGTTCTCACTAGGAGGGTAGTAATGCACTGGAACAGGTTACCCTGAGAGGTTGTTGAAGCTCCATCCTTGGAGGTTTTCAAAACTCAGCTAGACAAAGCTGAGCAGGGGGTTGGACTAGATGACCTCCTGAGGCACCTTCCAAACCTAACTTTCTATGATTCAATGAACTTTGGATTAATTGAATAGACTCTGAGTCAGATATTGATCTCAGTTATGATGCTGTGAATTCAAATTAACTCCAATGAAGCCAACAATTTCTCCAGGTTTATACCAAGTAACTGGGAACATAATTTAGCCTGTACACAACAGCTTCAGTTGCCTTGCTGCATAACTCTGTCACATCATTAAAGATGAGCTGTGCACTGAGGATAACAAGACCTTTGCATCAAGAACTGTTTACGGATACAAGGTGAATGTCTGAGCACTGCTCTACAGCGGAGCTAGGTGATGCATCCTGTGTTTCTATTTTGCCACATCAGATACTATGAACTGCTGTTATATTTACTTGTGCCCCAGTGCCCATCATAAGTGCCAGTTGTATGCATTCTAATCAACCACTCTGTTGAGCTTTTGGGCTCCTCCTATTCACTGGAGCACTCTGTCTCTGCACTGACTGCATACACTTTCCTGCTTCCTCTGTACAGCTTAGTACAATGACACTCAACCAAGGTGCTGCAGCACCTGGAGCACCATCTTTTCAAAGGTGCTGCAGGGCCCCATGTAATGTTAGCACTGTTGTGGGCTTTCCAAGTTCTTTAGCTGCTCTATTATTTTCCCTTAATCAAAAAAATGAGGGGAAACTAGGAATTGGCATTTTCTGAGTGCCTTGAATCCAATGAGGGGTGCTTTGGGTCTAATAAGAGGTGAATCTAGAAAGGTTGAGAACTACTCTTTTAGCACAATTAGGAACCTACCTAGATTGCAGTTTTGCAGATTTCACAAGAACAGCATTGTCTGTGATTGCCGGAAAATATGACATTGGCTGTGATTTCCTGCAAAATCAAACCAGCAAAAAAAGCAGTGGCATAGATTGAATGAAGATGCCCTCTGCCAATTAATAACTGTAGTGCTGGCTCCTACCCTGGGGACCTTTAAGAAGAGGCTTGATACCTACCTGGCTGGAGTCATTTGCGCCCAGTTTTTCTCCCGCCCAGGTGGGGGGTCAGACTTGAAGATCTACATGGTCCCTTCCGACCCTACTTCTATGATTCTATGAACTAGGGGTGAGGCCACCAGGGCCCCATAATCAATCAGCAGCAAGGTGCGAGGCCTTTGCAAAAAGCCTGTGAAACCAACTCTGGGCACCATGAGTGGGCTGTGAAAAACCTGTTGTTTCACCATGACTTATGTAGGACCCTAAGCATAAGAGTTGGGCTTATTTTAATGCCTATATCTGCCCCAATGCAGGACACTTTCCATACTCATGCCAGTTGCCACACTGTTGGCATTTACTTTGGACTGACTTTTCCTTTCCTGGTTAAGTGCACTCGCAGTCATGTTTTGGGGATGTCCACATAGGCTTTTTATTTGAGCTCCTGTTCACTCTGCAGCTTGGTATATGTGCACTGCTTTTTCCAGCATCCAGTTCATCTTTTACTAACCACTCCCTTGTTTACCATCACATCCCAGAACAATCTGGTCTTTAGCGAGAGTCTCAGTGCTCCCTTTTCACAGGGGCATGTACACGGGTCTGGGACAAGACTCCTCCGCTTCTCCTCCTTCCTACCACAGTCTCATCCTGAACAGGCCTTACAAGGTTGTGATTCTCCTCTGCTTACTATGTGACTACTGCAAAGCTTCCCTCTCCCTGCTCCACGGGGGCACGATGCCAGCAATTCTCAACAGGGGACTATGGCAGCCTGGGGTGCCCTGAGCCCTTTCCAAGGGTGCCGCATGTTGCCACACCAGGTCAGCGGAGTCAGGGCCTTATCACATTACACCGCAAGCCACACAAGTGTTGATCGGTTTAGGGCTAGCCTGCAGCCGTACCTTTGCACCTGTGTGGTGCCGGCCACACCAGCAGAGCAGGAGCTGGGTACTTCAGTCAGAGATCATCGTGCCCTGAAGCAGAACAACTCTGAGCTGCATAAGGAGGGCTGGCAGCCACTGAAAGGTGTTGACGTGAGGGCAATCCAGAAGTGAAGAGCTCCAGGCCTATCTGTCATCTTTCAGGGATGTGGGCCTACACCCACCATGTAACCTTTTAGCCTCCATCACATGGGGAAACTACAGAAAAGGATGTCAGTTGACTACTAGGGCCAAATAATAATAAACAGAGACAGGAGTGAAGATCAAAGGTTCAAAACCAAAGTGCCAAAGGGGGACACTGAGCAGAGCGCACTGGACAGTGCCCGCTGGCCCTCACCTGAGTGCGAGGAGCTGCAGACGTTGCCCTGCAACCCTCTGCTCCCACGCGGGAATGCAGCAGGGCAAGGACAGCGGCCCCGCGGGCTCGCCCTTCGCGCAGGTGCGCGGCCAGGAGGCTGACCGCGTCCCGGCCCTTAGTGCGGTCACAGCCGGGGGTATAAATAACAAGGTGAGCGGGACAGGGCAGCCAGAGCCCGGGCGGGGCAGGACGCTCCGGGCTGGGGGCCTGCCGGGGCCTCACCTGCTCGCTCAAGGGGGCCGGATACAGGCCCGGGGGACCCACCGGCTGAGGCGCGAAG